GCATTTTATCGTTTTTTTTCCCGCTTTACGGGGAATAGGCAATTAATTTTTTTCCCATGTCATTTGTAATGAGGAAGTTGTTAAATGAAACCTACTTCGTTCATTTTGAAACGGGAAAGAGGAAAAGCTGTAAAAATGGTCCATTTCATGTCCGATTTACTATTTTTCTACCTTATTACCAATTGTTGAAATATGCACATCGTCCCTTCCGCATTCTGGTCATGTTTTTGTCTAGAAAGCTTTATACCCCAAGTCCTAATAAAATGGAGGCAAGGATGGAAAGGGATTGAATAATATTCTTCTCACCCTTAAAAGATAATAAAAGGTAATTATTTCACAAAAAGAGAAAAATGCAGTTTTGGTACCGAAACTTTGACGCACGAGCGGTTTTAGTCCCCAAATTTTGGACGAAAACAAATTTGGTACCCGAACTTTCAAATTTTGAGCACATTAAGTACCCTTGACGATTTTTTTCCAAATTATTACCGGAAAAAGCCATGTGATAGTCACATGTCCGGCCGAAATGGAATTAAAAAAGGCCAAAAATGCAGTTTTGGTACCTAAACTTTGACGCACAAGCGGTTTTAATCCCCAAATTTTTGACGAAAACAAATTTGGTACTCGAACTTTCAAATTTTGAACACATTAAATACCCTTGATGATTTTTTCTCAAATTATTATCGAAAAAAGCCATATGACAGTCACGTGTCCGGCCACAATTGTATAAAAAAAGGCCCAAAAAATGTCAAATGCCATTATAATACTAAGTATTAAATTTAAGGACTAATAGCGTAATAAAGAAAAAATTCAAGGACTAAATAACAACACATGAGTCAACAAAACCCAAGAACTGATACAAATGAGCTCCAATTCCAGACAAATTTTGTGACTTGATTCTTAGATTAATGTACTAGAATTGGAGCTCATTTGTATCGGTTCTTGGGTTTTGTTGACTTATGTGATGTTATTTAGCCCTTGGATTTTTTCTTTATTACGCTATTAGTCCTTAAATTTCATACTTAGTATTATAATGGCATTTGACATTTTTTGGCCTTTTTTTAAATACAATTATGGCTTGACACGTGACTGTCATATAGATTTTTTTGGTAACAATTTGGAAAAAAATCATCAAGGGTACTTAATGTACTCAAAATTTGAAAGTTCAAGTACCAAATTTGTTTTTGTCCAAATTTTGGGGACTAAAACCGCTCATGCGTCAAAGTTTAGGTACCAAAACTGCATTTTGACCTTTTTTTTTCCATTTTCGCCGGACACCTGACAGTCACATGGATGTTTCCGGTAACAATTTGGGAAAAAATCGTCAAGGGTATTTAATGTGCTCAAAATTTGAAAGTTCGGGTACCAAATTTGTTTTCGTCCAAAATTTGGGGACTAAAACTGCTTGTGCGTCAAAGTTTAGGTACCAAAACTGCATTTTTCTCTTCACAAAAAAAAGGAAGAAGAAGAGGAAGGACACCCCAAATGGTTGAACACAAATGCATCCCATTCACCTTCCTCTTGCAATTTATTAATGGTGATAATATCAAAAAAGTACAACTAAAAAGAAAAAGCTTTTGGGACATTCAATCAAATTCAATTGAGCTTTTCAAAAATTAAATATAAAAGGGGAGAGAGAGAGAGAGAGAGAGGAATATCCAATTCAACTAGATGAACCTGAGGTTTAAGATTTTTGGGCTTTTTTGGGTGTATATATTTGAAACGCTATGTTCATAGTGTCTTAGGTTGGTTATTAGTTGAAAATTTGAAATTGAATTATCGGTATAAGTTAAATTTTAGTAATAACTTCCTTGCAATTTCGTTGTAGTATTTATCTCCTTGCAACGTCTGGCATAGGTACCATCCTTGTAAAATTTTATGTTGGTTAAGAGTCGAAATTGATAAATTGGTTTAGTTTTATAATTTGATTTATATCCCTACTTTAATATGTTACTAATTACTACAACCTATTATAATGTTGAAAAGCCCTCAAGGATTTAAACCTTGCACTCACTAAAACAAAAAAGTAAAGCTTCTTCAAAAATCACGTCCCAGGACCTGCAATAGTTTGATTTTTGTCTTGGAGTGGCACATAACAAGGAATCGCTTTTTTCTTTTTGTATTTGTTTTCTCCATTTCAATTGGTAGCATTTCACTTCAAGAGTTGGTCAAAGACTCAAAGTATACAAGTTATCTAGCACATTAAAACTTTTATCTAATATCTAGCAAATCAAAACTTGTCGTTTCATGGAGAAATCTTTCAAAACCATTCACATTTTGTCAAATACATTTTTTCGTTCTTCATTTGAAAATGTTAATTTTAAATTTCTTACAAATTCAAGTTAGCAAAATTTTATCCTAACCTAAGTTTCCACCACTTTTTAGTCTAAAATCACCATGTGATTCACATGTAATGATTTTTATAAATAAAAGATTAGATTCCACTCTTTTTTAGCAATATTGAATATGAATTGAGTCAGATCTTACTTTTTAAAGGAAAAATATGAATACGGTTCAAGTCAAATCTTACTTTTTTTAATGGTAAAAACGAATATGAACCGGCTTATCTATTTAACTACAAATGGGATCTAACTTTTTTGTCTATAAAAAAATGATTTCATGTGATGGATTTAAAGTAAAATCTGTTAAAAAATTTAGGTTGAAACTAAATTTTACTTACTTAATTTTGTAAAGAACATAAATTATTATTTTAAAAGCGAAGGATGAAATGTTTATTTAGTGAAATGTGAGAGATATTTTGCCTGATTTTCCTTACTTTATCATGCGATGGTAGCTAAGGAAGAATCTTTTTTCTTTCGTCCAATTTCTCTACTTGGGAATCTAGCACAGCAAACTGGTCCCCTTATTACTGGCCAACAATTTAGATTCTCCGCCATGGCACCACGCAAAAACAATGGTACACAACAGCCCAAAACCATCTTGAACATTTTGGAAAAAAAAAAATGTTTGACAGACTATCGGAAGACATAGAAGTCAAGGTCGCAGCAAATGAAGCTTGGAAAGTCTATGGAACCCTTCAACTGGGAAATCTTGTTGTCCAACACCTTCCTAATATCATTGAAAAAGTGGAGATATCAGAGTGAGATGGAGGGTGCAGGAACGATACTCAAACTTGGCCTTCCTGGTAATGGTTTGCTCTCTTTTTACTTTTGGAAATAAAAGGACCTATCTACAATGTTTTCCTACTTAAGTTGTAATACTGGTATGTATATCTTTTTTAATTTTCTTTTATTATTACTCAAGTCATATCATTGTGATTACTACTTTGCCCTTTAAGGGAAAGGGCACAAATGGTTGTTGTAGGCAACTGTAATTTTGAGAATCAAGGGCCGAAATTGGCCAAAAAAATGTTTTGATAACTTTATGGCCACGAAGCCTGTATTCTGCTCTATTAATTAGCAAAATATATGAAACCACTACATTACTGTAGGAAATTCCTATTATGATCGTTGTTTATACAACTTGTGATTTGTTTATGAAATAATAATAAGGGATAATTTTAGAGACCTCCCTCGAGTTGACGTGTCTGACTATTTCACTAGTCTTCCTGTATGTTTCAAAAATTGTATTGACCTCCTTTGATGTTTATTGTCTTATAACATCTAGGTCCAATTAGCAATTAAAAAGCAATATTAGGAAAGAGAAAATAACATGATTCCATCGTTGCCCTCATCTAGTATATTATTTAGTTAATTTAATACCAAACCACACATTAAAAAAAATATTAGAATTTACTGTTTATCATCAGGTATCAAATCACATATAGTATCAAAAAAATAGTGTGTCATTTTATATATTTCACTTAATATAAGATCTAAATTACTCTTTTCAGTTATAGACCCATTGTCAAAGGCGATCAATAACAAATAATAAAAAATCTGCAACCAAAATATCACAAAGAGTAAACTTTAATACCATAAAAATCTTTAGTAACTAACTTTAATATATTGACATGGATGTTTATGATGTTAAAGTTTGCTCTCTGTAATGTTTTGGTTGCAAATTTTTTTTTTATTATTTGTTGTTGATCATATTTGACAAATATGTATGTGACTGAAAAGAGAAATTTGGATATTGCATTAAATGAAAAATATAGAATGATATACTATTTTGATGCTATATGTGATTTGATTCCTAATGACAAACAACAAATTTTAGTATTTTTCTTTAATGTATGAGTTGGTATTAAATTAATTAAATAATGTAGTAGATGAAGGGCAATGGTAGAATCATATTATCTTCTCATTTCTAATATCATTTTTTAATTACTAGTTGGACCTAAATATTAAAAGGTAATTAACATCAAAGGAGATTTGTGTAATTTTCAAAACTTAGAGGGAAGCCAATGAAATAGTTAGAAACCTTGGGGGAGGTTTCTAAAATTATCCCTAATAATTTCTACAACTTTAGCTGATTCATAGTGGCGGTGACCCACGAAGTGCTCATTCTACCAATGCGCTATTATCACGTGGTAACCTCTTCTAGTCTAACAGATAATCAAACTATTATCAAATAGTCATGTATTCTAGTTTAGCAATTAATCACTAGAATATACCGTAAACTCATAAGAGATCACGAGTTTAAAACTTTTCACTTATATTAAAAAAAGGAGAAAAATTAATTATAATTAAACAGTGAATTGTTGTTTCTTAATTAACACAATGGCAACAAAAAGTGCACGTACATGGCCAGTGTGAGGTGCCAAATTTTGTACTATCATTCAATACAAGTTTTTTTTTTTTTTGGTATGAAATACCTAGATCCAGAATTACAAATAGTAATTGCAGAGAACAATTTATAGTAGTAGATGAAACTATTTAAAATTGGGTAGTTAAGATTGAATTTATGGGTATGAATTTTAACAAGTGACAAAAGTTGTTGCGTTTTTATAATATTATTATTGTCTCAATTTTTACATTGATTAATGTCATACCTGCATCAATTATATTGGGATCTACATTGTCGGGTACACATCCGCGGCAAGACTGCCCGCGGCGTAAAAGTAGTACCAGAAACTGAACTGACTACGTGTAAGCTTTCCAACCATGATCACATATTCTTCACTCTCCCATCCCATAGCTTTCCCATTCATCACACTAAGAAAATCAGCGACGAAAGTTTCATTTCTACTGCTTCTTCTCAAACAACCATTTCCAAGCAACTGCAAATTTGTTGCAGCCATGCACTCAAATTCTTCCGGAACAATGGCTGTTTCAGTTCCAGGAGTAAGTCCCCAAGAAATGGTCGCCATAGCTCAGGAAACCTTCCGGAGATGCACGTCATCGTCGTCTTCTGGTTCTTCATTGCCTGAGAGGAGAGGCAAAGGGGTGGCCATTGTTTGGTTCAGGAGTGATTTGAGGATATTGGACAATGAGGCTTTGATTAAGGCCTGGCTTTCATCTCAAGCTCTCTTGCCCGTCTACTGTGTTGATCCTAGGCTTTTCACCTCCTCCACCCATTACTTTGGCTTCCCTAAAACTGGAGGTATACCTTGTGCTCATTAGGCTGTACCTCTGAATTTCTCCATTAGATTATTCCGTTGAATTATATTTTGTTTAATTATCGTTTGAATACTTAGTTTAGTATCTCCCTTTTGGATCAATATTCAAGGATGGCAATTTGTTTGGACAAAAAAAGGAGTTTAAATTTTTGCCAGGTTCCAATATTGATAATTGTGCACTTAGAATATATACCTTGTGCTCATTATGTTGCATCTCTGGACTTTTACTTTAAATTATACTTCATTCATTTGATAAGATGTTCATTACTTGTCTTGGTATTTCCCTTTTGGACTAGTACTGTAGTATAACAAATTCTTGGATGTCAGCCTAAATCCCCGCCCCTCCATACTAAATCAACACCTTGAACAATTTTCTATGCTAGTTGTACAATTCATCAATGCATCAAATGTGTGGATTTAGGAAGAAGGGATATGGATTTAGCCTCTCCAAAAATCTTTTACATGAGAGTTTAGATCCTTGCCACATGTGAAATAACCAAAATCGTGCAATTGGGAAATGGGCTTATGTCTTGATCATCTAGGCCCGCTAGTGTGGATTTTTTAGCTGGTTTAATTGAATGGTTCACAGTAATAATGATTGAATATGACTTAATGGTGTGAAGACTCAGTATAGGGATAAGGTGTGCAGCCTCCTGATTGGAGTAAATCTACACTAGTAAACATTTTATTCGGAAGGGATTTAGGAAAATTAAAGACATACTTAAACTTGTAAAAATATTTTGGGCATTTACATATTCTGAGAACTTGTTTATCTTGCAGATATATTCAAAGATAACAACCATATAACCTATAACAATGCAAAAGTACCAGGACCTTCTTGTCAATTTTAGATAGATAGAAGATGATTGGACAGCTTGTTGGCAGAAGGAAATGTTGATAGTAACTTCTAGGCTATCCCTATTTTGACTTGTTTTTGTTCTTCTCAGTAAGAGCTTGACTGACCAAATTGTAATTGGAAATTCCATGCCTAAAAATTTGATAGCAAAGGTATATTAGTGATTTTGAGTTCTTTTGACATTTTTTGGGCAGTTTTGAGGGCTCAATTTCTCATGGAGTCTTTGGCTGACTTGAAAAATAACTTGAAAAGCCGTGGTCTGGACTTGTTGATTAAACAGGGGAAACCAGAGGATATACTGCCTTTGCTTGCAAAAGCACACGGAGCCCACACGGTTAATAAGTCTCCATCTTAAATGTTTTCTTTTCTACATCCAATAATTCTTTCAAAAACTATTGTTTCCGACTAGTGCCAATTGATTGATATTTTTACAAGTGTGTAGGTGTTTGCTCAGAAAGAAACATGCAGTGAGGAGTTGAATGTTGAGAGATTGGTTGCTAAAAACTTGAGACGAGTTGACCAGCCATTGTTGAAAGGGTTGTCCACTAAGCCAGAGTCCAAAACTGGTACCAAATTGCAGTTGATCTGGGGTGGTAGTTTGTACCATATTGATGACATTCCATTTGATTGTAAGTGTTTACCAGATGTCTATACGCAATTCCGTAAGGTATCATGTTTCTTCTCATAGGTTAGAGTAGAGACATTTTGCCTGTTAGAACAAATATCTCATGTATTGCTTCATGTGTCTGGATGATGCTTCCTTGTAGTCTGTTGAGTCCAAGTCTACAGTGCGTGCTTGTTTAAAGATTCCAACAACACTTGGACCTCCACCAAATATTAGTGACTGGGGCACTGTTCCTGAAATTACTGAGCTCGGATTTCAGAAGCCAAAGGCATGTTTACTTTCATCTTCACATACATGATGATGCAGCATGTTTAACACACATGTAAGTTCCTTCAGTATTCTTTATTTTGTGCTGATACAGGTGGAGAAAGGAATGAGATTTGTGGGTGGTGAAAGTGCAGCTCTAAGTAGACTACACGAGTACTTTTGGAAAAAGGCAAGAAATCTTTGTTGGATAGGAATTTTGAGTTATGTTTTTCCTATGGGGATTAAGTTCAAGGCTATTTTGTGGTGCTAAGCAAGACCTTGTATCAATTGGAAGTCATTTAAGATATTCCACTGTTTACTGTTATGTTGCACTTAATACCTTAGAAACCACTAACGTTGAATTCTCAAGTTTGATAGCTTTTGTCTGCAAATTCAAGTTCTAACGGAATGTAAGTGAAAGTAATCAAATTATGAGAGTGTGGTGTTCAAACATCATCGTATATTCCTGTAGGATCTGCTGAGGATTTACAAAGAAACTAGAAATGGGATGTTAGGTCCTGATTACTCAACAAAATTCTCTCCTTGGCTTGCTGCGGGAAACCTTTCTGCTCGTTTCATTTATGAGGAGGTATAACATTATTTACATTCTTAGTAATGGGCAGTGATAATATCAGTTTAATTCATAGTAAAATCATGTTCTCCATTTATTTTAAGGTAAAGAGATATGAAGCTGAGAGGCAATCAAATAATTCAACATACTGGTAACTAGATCTCCTCTATATTTCTTCCTTTCTTTGTGTATTTCAATGATTACATCGGGAATTGCATGTAAGTTAATGAACATATGTGGACAAATTAAATCATACCTTTCAAGATTTCCTATTTATTTTGAGTAAATTAAGCAATGAGCTGAATGGTTTCTAGGGACTTCTCTCTGGAACAATTGAGCTCCCAAGCTAGTATTCTCAAACTTGCAAGTCCAATCAAATAAGTTTTGGAACCTGACGTGGGTCTGGAATGCCACAATCCAACGAGAGTGGACTTTCTTTACTTGTTTAATTAATTTGTAAAAGTTGTATGGGTTTGAAGAACAAAATAGTCATTGCTGTAAATTGATGGCTTTTGAGGGGTTATAGTAAAGCCCTCACTGCTTCAGCTATCAAAAAGTCAGTTAAACAACTTGACCACTGAAGAAGGCAAAGGCTGGGCAAGAGACTTGGCCAATGCCATGCCATGATTTCCTTTCAAGTATAAACTGAAGCTCTAGATTGAGAAAAACCAGAAAAAATTATCAAAGATATTCTTCCTAGAATTATTTGTGGGGAAACTGTGCATAGAGTATTTGTTACCTTTCATGTAAAGTCATGTACGCTATTTACTGTTTAAATTATGTCAGTCTTTGAAAGACGTATGCTTCTATTTTCAACTTACATGTCTTTGAATTAAAAGATGCACCTTAACTACACTAACATCACTCAGTGTGTTCTTGCAAGGACTATTTGTTATACTTTGTCAGTTTATTATTTTGTTGTCTACCTTGATGCCCATTTGTACCTCAAAAAGGTCCGCACGTGTTGAAAATTGTAATAGTGTATATATTCCAAGAGGAAAATAAATCTCTTTATCATTTTTCTGATATAATTTTAATGTGTTCAGGGTTTTGTTTGAACTGATATGGAGAGATTACTTCAGATTTTTGTCTATTAAGGAGGGAAACACTCTCTTTAATCCAGGTAAAATGAGGTGCCATTTCTAAGTGATTGATAAAAATAAAAAATGCTTCCAGTTCTTGAATTTACAACCTAGCTCAGGTAGCTGCATTCTTCTGAAACTTGTGTAAAATTTTCTAATTTAATCAAAGTTATGCAGTTTGTTTACTTTTTCTGCATTCAGGTGGGCCCAGAAAAGTTGAGGTTAACTGGAACCAAGACAGCATTCTTTTTGATGCTTGGAGAGATGGTCATACTGGGTATACTTTCTATCCACTGCTTTGGTTGTGGCCACTAGATGTTGTGGAAAATCACATTTCTATGCTCAAATTGGACAGCAGATCTCTTTCTCTCCTTCATCCCTTTAAAAAGAAAAATAAAAGGAAAGTACAGGGAAATCGATATGTTGATCTTGATCAAGATAACATATGCTAACTTACCTTTTATGTTGTATTGACTCATTTTCTAATGTTGCTAAAAACTAGGTACCCTCTTATAGATGCAAATATGAGAGAACTGTCAACTACAGGGTTCATGTCAAATCGAGGCCGGCAGGTACTAACATACACTAAAGTTATAGTTGAGTGATTCTGGATTGCTGCTTTGTCACGTAGAACAGTAGTAATTAGTAAAACGAAAAGACCATCCCATCTTTTGATAGTAGAGTAGCAGTTGCCTTACAAAATTCTCATTTGAACTCAATCTTGAATTACGAACCTATCTTTTCAATTTATATCCTGCCACAGATTGTATGCTCCTTTCTTGTTCGAGACATGGGCATTGATTGGCGAATGGGAGCTGAATGGTTTGAATCATGCCTTTTGGACTATGATCCTTGTTCCAATTATGGTAACTGGACATATGGTGCAGGTATTTGTTTTCTGAGTATTACACGTTTATCTTCATGAAATTTTTTTTGTGGTTTGATATTTGAATAAATGGCCAAAATAGTACTAAACTATCTAAGATGATGCGAGTTGGTCACCGAACCTTTTTTGTGGTCAAAAGGGTCGCTCAATACCCTAAAACGAGCCTTTAGGATCATTTCGAACAATTTAGCCAGTAAACCAGCTAGAAAAAAGCAAACTTGACCCACTGTTGTAGGTTTTCAAGGGTAAAAATGTCCTATTCTGATTGACATAATTTTTCTTTAAACAAAAATCAAACTTTAGGGGTTAATCCATATTTTGGCAAAACTTCATAGGAGGTAAATATAATTAATACAAAAAATCACCAACACATCATCTTCTTCCTCTTCCTCCTCCTCCACCTTCACTGTCCACTGCCACTGTTGCATTACCCACCACCGCACCCTCTCTCCTCCCCTCTCATCCCCTCCTTTCACCCATTTCCCCTTCCCTCCCCCCTTCCCCAGTGACCAGATCTGGTCGCTGTGATCCAAAAAAAAAAAAAAGTACCCACAACATCAGTTTCTTCTTCCTCCTCCACCACCATCACCTACCCACCCACCCAGCCACCACCACTGTTCTTTTCAACCAAATCAGAGCCAATTATTAATGAAATATTATCCGATGATTGGGCTTAAGAGTTTGAAAAAGAGCTATCAAATTTAAATCCAAGATTGACCCATGAAACTGTTTGTATATTCCGATGAAATTAGGTAAAGACCCAGAAAAAGCTTCAAGCATTTACTCAGATTTTATGCTAAGAAAAAGCTTCTGATGAAATCAGGCCAAGTACTTCTATTTATGGTTTCATGCTGAGAATTTATGCTTAAAATCATTCAATGAAGGAATTTTGGGTGGTTATTAAAGAAACGAAAGAAAATGGTTGTCATATTGATGAGGATACATATACAAGAATTTCCTCAGATCTTCGAAATTCAAAATTGGTTAATGATGGGACTGCTCTGAAGCATTTTTATGAGAGAATGATGCACTACGGAGACAGTTGTGCAAAGGGTGGTTGATGTGGTCTGATTGGAGTGGTGAATTGGAGAGAGAGTTGGGAGGAGATGAGGTTTTCAGTATTTGTGGCACATGACAATAATTCCACAATTGAAATTATACAGCCAAATATCAATCAACTAAGAAGCGGCTCAAAACTGTCCGTGTTCCTTTTGTTGTCATGGAATTCTCTGTTGGTGGCGAGTGGTCAAGGGGGGAGGAGAGAAGGAAGTTGTAAGGAAGGTGGCGGAGGGGTAAGAGGAGAGAAAGAGATGGCATTATTTGGACATTTTTGCCCCTGAAAACTTGTAATTCCAGTTAATTTACCAAAAAATGATTCTAAAGGCTCATTTTAGGGGGTTGAGTGACCTTTTCGGCCACAGAAAAAGTTCAGTGACGAGTCGTGCCATTTTAAATAGTTTGGTTACTATTTTGACCATTTACTCTTGATATTTTATGTGTCCATCATAATTGAAAAAGGTTAACTTTGTTAAGGGAAAAATAGAATGAGCTATTCTGATTTAGGACAGTTTTTAGCAAGGAACTTGCAAGCATTCTTCTTCAGACAAAAGCTGAAGTTTCTGGCATTTTAATTCACTCAGCTGTGATTTCAATGATAAAAGGATTTTTCTGATGTTTGCCACTGGGGAGTTGTTGATGCATACAATATGCCATCTAAGCCCACACTCTCATTTATTACTTCCCTTTCTTTTAGTCACTTTCCCTATTAAACTTCACTTTTCCAAAAAAACTAACACTGTACGACACCGTTCACCTGTGCCTACTGGCCAATGTTTAGACATACCTATGGTAAAACAGGATCATCGAGGTAGATATAAAGTAGGACAGGAAAGTGGAAGAATATTTTCTAGTTTCTGGAGATGATGTTTTAGCTTTTGACAGTTCCAGTTATACATTCTTTATTGGTTAAGTGCACTTAGCAGCATTCTTACAATTAAGGATGATGAGGTACATTTTGAGAGGTCATCTTACAGAAGCAATGAATGGCCAAGTAGGTCTTAGGTGTCCTTTTAGTTATCTTCATTGCTGTCCTTTCAGTTATCTTGTGTTATGGAAAAAGTTTGTGAATGTGGCTTTTGAAATCCAACCATTAGCATGGATCCTTTTTTCTTTATTGTTTGGTTCAAGGGAGATTCCAAGCCTTACAAGGGGAAAGGGGAAAGAGGAGGACTTGAGCATGGAACCAGGGACCTTACTATTACCTGACCAATGTCCCTACTAGCTGAACTGGGTCTTGGGACAAGCATGTTCTTCTACCTATACTGCACAGAGATTAAACAATTAGGTTGAAGTGGTTTGACTTTATTTCTACAAAAATCGTGTTGGTGTACTTGATGTAACTCGTGCATGGATAGAGACATCAAAGCAAACATTGACATACATAGTGTGTAGGATATACATTATCCCGCATCATAAATATTTTAGCATAATCCTATAGATCTTGTATTGGTTTGTTTAGGAATTTCATCTATGTGATGAAGCGGTCTTAATATCAAACACAGACCCAGACATTATGTTCTTTTACTTTGTGGTTTGTATTTTCTTTTGTGCAGTTGTCAGTTTAGCAAATGTTCTGCCTATGGTTCATAACAAGGGTTCAACCCTTTTTTTTTTTTTTAATAAATCCTGCTTTGGCTAAAATGTGATTTCATGTTGACCACTGAAAGAAGAAAAGAAGAATCTCACTATGCCTCAATGGTAGATGTTCCCAAAATATTTTGACTGACTATTTTAGTTCTGAAAAGTTCTATTAAAAGTAGGCTGGATTTTCCCATTTTTCCACTCCCACTGTGGCACAACCAAAACCCCATGTCATGCTTGTTATACGAAAAAGCATAGAAGAATTTCTGTGAAATTCTGTACAATGTTAGAAAAGTTGTCTATACTGGTGCTGGGTTTCTGATGATGGATCAAATTTCTGTATTTATGCAATGTCTTGAAGAAGTTTAAGTACAGTGCATTTCCAAGAAAATTAATGCTTTTTATTTGGACTTCAGTTTGAGGAAAACTATGTGAATCAAAATTGAAGTAGAATAAAATTCTCAATTTTGTTATCCTTTCATGATTGGGAGAGTGTGAGTGCTGGAACAATGTTTTCCTGGATTTTTTCATATCGTAGCATATTAATAAGATTAATTAAGATTTCTTTATTTCTAATGACAAGTGACTAAAGAAAAAGTTTCTATACTAGCATTTTTCCTCTTTTTGTTCTATTTACCTGAGAAAAGCTATTTTCTTCACTTATGCAAAGGCTTGGGGCAAGATCATAATCATGAAAGAAGTAATCTCCAATGGTTTTATATAGATGGAAAGGTGAGAGGGATAGTAAGCAGGAGGTCTTGGGCTCAAGACCTCCCACTTACCCAAAAAAAAAAGGTTTTATATTATCAAATCAGTTTTTTCAGCATCACAAGTAACTAAAATGGTCATATATAAGTGATGAATTGATTTATGCTCCTTTGACTTTCCAGTCTTGGGAAGAATTCTTAAACTAGATGGCCAAGCAACCAATCTTTGGAAGGTTACAGTCTTGCTCTAGCCTGCCTATAGCTTTAGTTTGATTACTGCAGTGAATTTCTTTTTCAATACATTGTTTAGCCTCCTAACATGAAGCTTCCTCCATCCTCAATTGCAAGATATGTGATACTTTGACTTCCTCTAGTTCCTGCTGCCTCCATAGTTGCAATAGGAAATTATGGTGGCATTGTCTTTTCTTCCTTCAAATGATTTTTTGCTTATAATTGCTCTTCACAAATTTCTCATAGCCACTTAGCCATTAGGAGCTAGTCAATTTTAAGCATATTTCTCACTGGATCTCAAGTACACAAAGGAATTTAAGTTTTAAGTTCATGCTATCTGTCCTTAAGGTATATGTACTTTTGATCAAATTCCAGGAGTGATTATAAACAAGATGGGAAGTTTGCCAAATTTGTTTTAAGAAAAGTAATTTTTCCTCCTTTTGACAAGTAAACTTTTGCATGTTGCAAGTGTCAATTCTTTTCAAAATACCATTGGGCATGATTTCATATTTGTGCTTCCACTGAGGTGGGCTGGATGGAGTTTTTCCTGTTTTCCTCAAATCTCTTTCAATGGTTGATTCCCTTCGAATGTGCAACCTTTGAAATGGCTTACTAGTTGACAAACAACAAAGACCAGCTGAGAAAAATTAATTATGATATTCCAACCCGACATCCAACATTGAAACTCAATGGAGTATTTTCAGCAGAGGAAGATAAAGTTTTCTTTTTTTCCTGTCTCCTTTAATTCCAGCAAATGTCGACTTTCTTTGGCCCTGTCAGCATTCTGCTAAAACCTTTTGCTATAGTGATGAAGGGTAGAGATGGGGCCTCCTTGTATGCTTTAGAGCTGAGGAGAAAATCTCATAGGAAATCCATTTGGTAACAACTGAGGGATGGTTACAGCAAACGCTTTCCTGCGCAATCCAGTCTGTAAAATTATATTCTCAACAGTGGATACAAAAGAAAATCTCCAATGACTTAGTCTTATCGAGTTCTATTTTCACAGAATTAATCTGGTGCATTTTCTTATCCTTAGTTACACATTGATTAGAATGCTGTAAAGCCTCAGGAATTTGCTTTTTTCTCTTTAAAAGGAAACTGATGTTAACATAAAGCTTCCCAATTATCTCTTTGGTCCATAATGCATGCATTTTGGAGACAATTTTGGCAGTGTGCTCAGCAGGCTAATGGGTCCAAGTTTCTTGATGTCAGAATCCAGTGTCCTGCTGTTCGGATGAACCAGTTCACTACAACATTGATTTTTTATCACTTAAATAAGATTTTGTACATGTGCTCTTATTACACAATGTCTCTCTCTGGCCCTCTGTCCCTCTGTCCCTCTCTCCTGCCTAAGCTTTAAAATTTGTACATAGTATTGGTATAGTTAATGTCCAATCGCCCTCTGCTTTACCAACTGCATTCGTTGAACATGTTTGAGGTGTATGTTTGCTGCCAAAAGGTTCTTGATGCAGGCAACTTTTGTGATTTTTCATGCGGCAAAGGTTCTCTTCATCAAGTTTGAATTGTTTTTCTTGTTAATATGGTTCAAAACCCTTAATTTTTTTGTGAACATTCTTCTAGAGTGGCATCCTACATTTGTGGTTTTCTCTTTCTGCTATGCATATAGACTTGCAAATCTTATGCTTAGTTTCTGCATTCTTTTCATTAAGGTGTTGGGAATGACCCGAGAGAGGACCGCTATTTCAGCATTCCCAAGCAGGTTAGTTCTTCAGAATTTTCAAATACTTCAGTTGAATTATGCATAGCTGGTGTTTCAGCCTTATGGGTTGCTGTTCCGATGTGTGTTAATTGTCTCACCCACAAGAAAAAAATAGAAAAAGCCAACAGTTTGATTATCATATTTTTTGTTGTATCGGGACTTGTGTTTTCTTAAAATGGCAAACACTCTCACAGACAATGACATTGTTGCGTTTGACAAAATGAAGTCGCAGTTTGCTCTTTGTTGGTGGGAAATTTCCCAAGATAATTGACATTTTAAACCCAATTTACAATTTTCTGAATGTAATATTCATGATGAAAGAAAATGACTTCAGTGACGCCTACAAGCTAAGTTAAAGTCATGGTTTGAGACCTTAGGCAATAAATAAAGTTTATGCTTCTAAAATAGTTCACATCTAGTGCAGAAGAGGCATCGTTCTCACCCAACAAGCAACTAATAAAACTTGACATTTGGAAATTAACTTGTCTCAATGTCAATAAATGAAGCTTTATTGGTCTAATATAGTAAGGATTCTAGATTTCAAACTCAAGGTGAGGGCTATTACCAAAGTAGTGGAGAGTGGCTGATTAGTAAAATCACATTGTGGAACTTGGTCTTTTTACACAATGATGTGGAAGAGAGGCATAGAGTGGATAAGAAATGATAAGAAAGCCTGCTGTTACCTCTTTTAGGTTATAAAAAGAATAGGAGAGAAGAGAAGTGTCAAATTGTGAATCTTCTTAGTTGGTGGAAGCAAATGTTAGAACAGAAGATGAAGGACACAATAACTAAGATGGTTGCGACCTTTCATTTTCATTCTTCACTTTTCCCCCTGCAAGTTGCAGACAATGGAACTTAACTTTTATTTTCCTTGGCATCCTTCACTTTTTCCACATAATGTCTCCTGTTCTTTTATTTTTCACCTGGCTTGTGTTCTTTTATTGTTTCTCCTGATTAAATTTCTCTTCCTTTTGTTTCTCTGTTAAGACTCCAAAGATACATGTTCAAATGCCATCTCATTCTGAAAAAGTTGAACCCATGGCTTAGTTTGAAAAAAATATATATGAGACAAATTATGTGGCTTTTCATCATCTTGAGACCTTTCCTTTTTGTTTAGATATTTACCAAATCCAGCTGGATTTCAGTTTTATCTTGTTTATAGGCTTCCATATGTTTGGTCATGTAAATGAGATATATGTTTTGTTGTGTCATTTTCTTCTAAAATTAGCTTAACATTTTACCAAATAAATGCTGATTAGCTAATTGTCTACATATTTACAGATGACACTTATTGTTCAAACATGCAAAACTGGAGGACCCGTAAGGAAAGTGAATTAAGGTTTATATGTCATGCATGCCCCTCCCCAAATGTGTATATAGCTTTTCAAGCCATATATGAAGAGGATTCATACTGAAGAGAATTTCTGGCTTATAGTTTTAGCTTTTTTGGTGAAATCAGTTTGGATTTAACATTAGGGACATTCGGAAACTTCAGTATTCTAGAGAATCTGTTTCAGATTTTTCGAGTTGATATTCAGGCTAAGAAATCTAGTCAATTATCATGCTCTTTCTTAGTGATGAAGCTAAATCACATGATTTGTTGGGTAACTACTGCATAAGCTGCAGCTTGTCATAGCTGGTTTATAGAGTTTATGTTCTTGTTAACACAAGTATTATGCTTCAACTGTCCATTTGATGTAATGGTTGACTTGGCGATGGAGTTTTGGTTTGAAACCCACCAGATGGCCCTCTTGTTCTACTCTGTTTCCAAACTGTTTACGGTGGATCTGGAGTCATTCTTTTGCTGAATACTTGCACGGATTTTATATGAAGCTTCATTGTCCTTGATGTAATCAAAATGAGATTCTTGCTTATGTTTCATAGCCAGAGATCTTTAAAACAACAAATTTTGATGTGGATTAGCACCTTATTGTGGCTGGAACTCATTATATGACTCAAGAGAACGAACTTTTTGAGTCATAATTTTTGGAAAGCTTTCAGTGCATTTGACAGGCTTCAAGGGATCTAAAAACAATTTTAAGTCTGCAGTGGAAGTCTGAACTTTCCTGGTGGGTTGAGGGAAAAAAGATAAAAAGTTTCACATGACCTTTATTATTAAATACTCACTACAGATTTCAGTAGAAAGAATCTCAATGTTTTCATCCTAATGAAATAGGTATTTTGTTGATTATTTAACTCTAGAAACACAATTTCGTTGTCAAGTAAAGGACTCTAAAATTTCACTTTTCACGTAAGATAATTGCTGGATTCATTGTGAAGTGAAATGATACACTAGAATAAAATTTGCCTACAACACTTGTAAGAATTATAAGAGAGTAGTTCTGCCTGTCTGCGTAAACTTAGCTGTGTATGTGCTTATTTGCATTTGCATATGTTTTATTATCATCTGAATTCTACAATTCTTCATCTTCTGTTTTGGTTTGAACCAATGAAAGGAAGCTATTTAGGAAACAATGAGGTTGACATAGATGCAAATAATCTTTTAATTGCATTTGTTCGTTCACCATATGATATTTTGTTTTACATGATATAGGCTCAAAATTATGACCCTGAAGGGGAGTTCGTAGCTTACTGGTTACCAGAGTTGCGAGCACTGCCAAAAGAGAAAAGGAATTTCCCAGGACATTTGTACATTAAACCGGTTGTAGGCCTCAAGCATGGGGGCAGCAATAAAACCAGTTCTAAGACAAGAACTGCTGGGCGTGCAAAAACATGGAAGTGATTTGCAAGACAAAGGAATGAGTTAGAATTTGCTCATGAACTGGCTTGTTGACTTTTTTTCTGGAAAGGACTATAGACTATTATATATATAGGATCAAAAGATTTACACGTGAAGGGTAAGTAGCTTTTAAAGTATGCCATGGGGGGAGCAATGTTCGCACATAACATCATATTTAAGCTTGAAGACAACTTTTCCCACACTATGACTAACAAGATTACTTTGCCTTCTAACAAAAGAAAACCTACTCACTTCAAAACCTTCTCTCAATCGATCAATGTCCAGTAGCAACCCATTGAGATAACTGCTAGTCTCAGTGCCCAAGCTTCCAGGTATGTTGCCTCAAGCCTAAAGTTGAGTTGATTAGCCCAGATTGTGATTATTTTTCCATCGCCGTCCCTTGCCACAATCCCACAACCTGCTTTGTTAATTTGAGGTTGGATTGCTGTGTCAACAATTTAGCTTGATGAAGGCTGGTGGTGGGGAAGTCCAGGTTGCTTCCGTGGTGTTCCCCACGGTTCTTGGACGTTCTTGGACATTCTTGTACTCCATCTTCAGAGCCTCCCTGTATTCCCTCCATTATCTGAATGTCTTGTCCACCAAGAATAGAACCGGTGAGCTCTTTCTGTCAAAGTTCTCATTTCTGGCTTTCCGAAGTTGCCACAAGAAGTTTGCAGTCGGTTCAATCTGTTCCCTACCATTAGGTCTTTCCATTGCTGATTGCTGCCTTTCCCACCATCTCCAAAAATTCCACCTATCATCCCAAAGTCAATCCTATTGGATAGGGAAGATTTTCCAAGCAAGCTGTACATTGCTACAAAAAAACAGCACATGATCAATAGTTTCTATCTCATATCCACAGCATCTACAAATCGGATCAACCTTCTTTGTTAGTTGGGATAATATTGTTCAGGCATTTCCAAAGAAAGTGTTTTATTTTATGTTTAAATTCAAACTCTGTAGTTTTTTCCATACCTTGGCTTCCCCTCTCCCGTGACTGGGCTCTTCCTCCCTTCAAGCACGTTGTTTTATCATTATCAGCCGGTATTTTTGCCATGCGGTATCCGGAATTCGCTGAATATACTCCCATCTTGTCTGCACTCCAGAAATAGCTATCTAGTCCTTCAAAGAGGCTGAGAGGTATCTGCTCGACTAAGCTCACATTCCTTTGTGGAGAAAAGGTTGGCAAGTAGGTCTGTGTTCCAGTTCCTCGCAGCTCTCAGTTCCAGCACATAAACCAGGTCGCAATTTGGAGGTTTCTGGGCTTGGACCTTTCCATCATTAGAGTTTGGGACCCATCAGTAGAGTTTGGGAACATCATATATGGCCACTACCAACTGTTTTCCTCCCTCTTTTTGCCAGTAGATCAAGCGAGCTAAGTAAGCTTTGCCAAATCTTTGGAGGCTGTTGGCTTCTTCTTCACTTCAAAAGTTAAGCTCCTGGGGAAGTATTCAGCTTTCATTACCTTGTTTACCAGCAGGTTCAAGCAGGTAACGAACCTCCACAGTTGCTTAGCCACGAGAGCTGAGTTGAAGTGATGGATATCCCTGAATCCCATTCCCCCCTCCCTTTAAGATTGCACATTTCCTCCACTTCATCCGGTGCATTTTGTCCTCTCCATTATTGTTTTCCCACAAAAATTTGGCTACTTGGGAGTTTACTTCTTTGCACAGGTAACCTGAACACAGACATTGAGTAGGCTGGCATAGTTGAACCACTAACTTGATCAGGACTTCCTTTTCTGCGGGGCTGAGTAGCTTTCCCATTGCAGTTTTTTGTCCAATCTTTCTTTGATGTATGTAAATATCGCCTTCTTTGATCTGCCAATCACTAGAGGTAATCCAAGGTATTTGCCATCTGTGACAATTCTAATTCCTAGCATGGTACTTACTATCATCTCCTTTACTTTTGCGCCTATGTCTTTAGTGCCGAGTACAGAGTATTTTTGCAAGTTCACCAGCTGACCCAAGGCAGTCTTATAGATTTTGAGAATTTTCATTACTTCACCTGCTTCAGAACTGTTAGCTTTGCAAAAAAAAAAAAAAAAAAGGTGAGTCGTCAGCAAAAAATAAATGAGAAATAGAGGGGTAGTTTTTTGCAATTTTCAGAGCAGAAAGGAGGTTCTTGTAGATTGCTTGTCTTAATAAACTTGATAATCCCTCAGCACAAATTAAGAAAGAATAAGGAGGCAAGGAGATAAGGAGACAAGGGGTCTCCTTGCCTTATGCCTCTACTAGGGATCCCGTAGCCAGTTTTGGCACCATTAATATTAAAAGAAAAGGACAGAAGACCTGCATGCAACAATCAACTTAACCAACTTGGGCAAAAACCCATCTTGAACATGACACAAGCTATGAATTTCTACTCTACCCTATCATCCGCCTTGGCCATGTCTAATTTCAGGGCCATGAAGGCATCTTTCTCAGTTCTCTTGTTTTCAAGGTGGCAGATGAACTCATAAGCCACAATAACGTTATCCAAAATGTCTGCGGGGAACAAAAGCTGATTGACTCTTACTAATACACTTATTTAACAGAGGTTTTAATCTATTTACCAATACTCGGGAGATAATCTTGTACAAGACGTTACAAAGACTTATTCATCTAAAATGGGACACTACGGTCGGGGAGTTAAATTTGGGGATCAAGGTGATTAAAGTTTCATTTAAGCACTTAGGAACGCAACCAAAGGCAAAGAAAGATTGTAGCACCAACACCGTTTCTAGCAATGATATGCCAAAATTTCTGGAAAAAGGTAGGGGACATACCATCCGGTCCGAGGACCTTACTAGGATGCATTGAAAAGAGTGCCTTCTTGATCTCCTTTTCACTTACAGGTTTGGTGAGGTATAAGTTCATCTGGTCATTCACAGATTTTGAAATTCCCTCTAGAATGTCTTCCCACCCCGCTGGTTGGAATGTAAAGAACAGCATATCGTAGCAGTCAGTGATTTCTTGAGCAATTTCTTCTTCTATGTTACACCATGTTCCATTCCCCCTCTGAAGTCTGCTGATTATGCTTTTCTTTCTTCTATTGGCCTCGCATGAAGGAAGCCTGAGTTCCTATCCCTCTCCTTTAGCCATTTCAATCTTGCTTTTTGGCTCCAAAAGACCTCTTCATTGTGTATGCCCTGTTCAACTGCTCATGTAGCTGCATCCATGGTTCAAAGCCGCAGTCGCGGTCGTGATTGTGGCCCGGACCGTTCCACATTAGTTTCGACATATCAATCGCGGTTTCGGCGAGACGCAAATTTTTGAGACATTTAATATTTTAAAAATTGTAAAAAAAAAAAGATAAACAAAAATAAGAAAAAATTAACAAAAATAATAAAAATTCGAGTTGACTAGGGATGATTCGGTCGTTCCTATCCATCTCGGAAACGTCTTGGCCGAGTTCTCGGTGACTCGATCGAGTTCTCGGCGACACATTATCTCGAAATCATCTCATCTAGGTATCGAAATGGAAGGTCCCGTTCCAATGACTACTCGGTTGAGTCGTCTCGGTCTCGGCCAAGTCTTTGAACCATGCCTGCATCAATTCTCTGCTTCTGGCCTCCACTGAACTTCCCTTAACCCTGTTGATCTTGTCTTTGATCTGATTAATTGCCTTGCCAGCGTTTCTGTGCACTTGTTTATGCCATTTGAGTAGAGCCACTCTAAAATCTTTAACCTTTTTGCTGATCTTGATTAACGCCGGCCCCTGTTGCTGTCCATTCCAAGCTTTCCTCGCCACCTCATTGACCTCCTGACTTTGTAGCCATTTTCTATCAAATTGGAAGCATTTTTTGTTCTACCTGGATTGGGCCTGGTGTCCAGCATTAATATGCAGTGGTTAGATGGTTGTTTTCTAATGTGTTCCACCTGAGCTTTGTCATGATTCTGGAGCCAGAATTGGGATGCCTGTGTTCTGTCAAGTCTCTCTTTAAAATCTCCCTCAGAACCCAAATGTTGCACCAAGTCCACGGGATCCCCACAAATCTCGCCTCTATCACCTCATTGCTATGAATGATTTGTAATTTTGGTCACAATCCTGATCAACAAATATGAATTTCTATGAACCAACCACGAGTGTTTATATTTTGAATTTTTTGGCCATACGTCCACAAGACAGCCATCCCACCAGAACTTGCTTGTTAACGACATACTCTAAGTTTTAGAAAGAGTTGATATGTTTAATTAGTAAACTTAAATGAGCATATGGTTTTTATATAGTCTAAATCTTAGTGCATGAGATATTTTTAAGATTAATTTGACTCAAATGATTGATTCTGTTGATTGATATTCTAATTGATTAATTAATTTTTTATCAATCATTGATTGGCATCTCTCATTAATGCATATCTTCAATTAATTACTTAGAATACCATAGAATATATTATTCCTTAATATTCTCAATTGTGTATTTATGGTACGTTTTCATGATGGAAGGAAGTCTGATTTAATATTCACATATAAGAATCTCTAGTTTAGCCTATTAATATTCTCAATTGTATATTTAAGGTTTAGTCATCAACATTGCTTGATGACAATAATTGAAGACAATCCTATCTTTTATTTATAATCCTCATTTGATTCCTAAATCTGATGGTAGGGAGAATTCTAAGAACTCTCCCGTAATTTCTCACTACTCGTTACATATATTTGTATGGCCTCATGAAGGGAAGCGAGTTGATTTGAGTGGTTTGGAGGGAAGAAATGTAAGTAAGAAGTCTTGAGTTCGACCCTTCAAACTTACACTAAAAAAAGAACATTATACATATATGTATGTTATTTGTTTTTCAATTAGTATTAGAGCTAACTTTTAGCCATGTCATTTAGCATATATTGCAAAGATGTATAAAATGTCTAAACCAACTAAATCTAATTAGGGTAGGGGGCTAAATCCACATACCCCCAATCCACACCTCTAAGATTAAGATGACAATAAAGTCCATAGGAGTTTGTTAGAAACTTTTTTCAATACAAAAACTTGTCTTTCATACAACAAGAGATGTTTTAAAAAATTAATCACAAATTTTAATTAATTGAATATGTTTAATACCATCAACCTAGTTGTTGATTTGTGAGTTTTTTTTTAAAGTTATATCTCAAACAACTTTGAAGTGCAATGTGCCAAAAAAGGTAAAAAATAATTTCTTAACATAATTAAAAAAAAATCTATCTCCTCTTACATGATAAAAAAAGGTAAAAGTGTTCACTTCACCACATAAGAGGAAAAAATAAATTCCATCAATGTGAATGAAAAAAATGTCAAAAATTTTAAGACCATTCATAATGATGTAAATTTTAAATCCAAATTAGCACAATCTATTTTCACCTAAAAAAGGCTAATTTTTTTTTATTAAAAGAGTTTCTACCAAGCCCCATAAATGCCTATGGTCTTTTTGGTCAACTTGATTGTAAGAGTGTGGATTTAGATTATAGAGGTGTGGATTTAGCCCCAACCATGTAATTAACCATCAAATTTTGTAGTTTTGTTTTCTTAATAATGAGGAATTAATGGCTAATCCTCTATATTTGTGTTGTGTGAATACTGATCTAACAGTTTATGCAATTTATTCAGATTTGCTTTGGTCGTCCAATATAATATGTTGGTAATTCAATTATTTCTTCGGGAAAATGCCAATTTAGTCCTTGAAGTTTTTCACTTAAGCTGATTTGCTCCCTCAAAGTTTTTTTGACATGAAATTAGTCCTTAAAGTGAGATGTCTATGCCAATAAAAGACCTATTAGGTGACGCCACCCTAAACATGATTTTTCTCAACCAGGCGATGAACTATGCAGGGGCATTTTGGAGAGAAGACTTTAGTATCTGTGTCAAAACTAATTAATCAGATAATCAAAACACAACAGATGAAAATACAATAGGCAAGGAGAGAAGTGGGGAGACTACTCTCCCAAATTAGGGTTCATCTTCACTAGCCACAACTCTCTCCCTCTGCAAAAGCTTTGCAAATTTAGCCCTTCAAATGCAAAATAATAATAAAAGGAATTTTGATGAGGGATCGTCAAGCTCAGCTCCAAATTGAGAATGGAGGAATGAAATGGATCATGCTTCAAACAATAGAGGATTTTGTGATGACCCCACCTTACCCTAAGGGGTATCAAAGGGTTTAGCAGACTGCATGCCTGACTCTCGCCAAGTCTCACTCACTCATATAAATTGAGAGATAACATTAACTCCAAAGTAGGCATTAAAACTCCACCATTAAATAGTACAAACCATCCAACATTCCAAATCATCCATACTTATATGTACTACCAAACAGATAAAAAATATAAGTTGTTCAATCAATTCACTAAATACAAATAGGATGGCAATTTACTTAAAGCAAAGACTTCAACTCTCCAACTCACAATTCTTCGGTTCCACGTTTCCAACTCTTGTTAAGGAAAATAAACTAAAGGGGTGAGTTTACACCCAGTGAGGTTCTAAGAAAACAAAAAACTTTAAACACACAAATTCACACTTTCAGTAACATAATAGGAATAACAGACCAATTAATAACAAGATAATTCATGAAACAATTCTTAGCAAATAGCACAATCAATATCAAAGAATACGATACTGCTACAGACTCTAGAGGTGGCTCCCATCCATTTTCAGACGTAGCACTTAGTTCCATTCAGTAATTCACTTGCAACTAAAAGGATATAGTCGGCTCATGCAAGCTAGTTCAACAGCAGTGTTTTCCGATTCCGTTGACACTCCGTCAACTATTGAAATTCAGTAATAAATAATGTCCATAGATCACCGCTTAATGCCAGTTTCCGTCCACTGATCATCCAACTACCGGACCCAAACGCCAAATATATAACAAGAGGGATAATACTCGAGTATACCAAATCTAGTAACAATAAACATGA